CCCTCTCCTCGTTGAACAGCAATGGGTTGAGTGACATCCGACGGGAACGGCGTCTAATGATTGCCAGTTTATAGTAGACCTCCTCCAGTGTCTTCACCCGGTACTGATCCATAAGCTGTTGCGGTGATGACTGGGCTAATAGGTAGCCGTTGCTCACAAAGCCTACAAACGACGAACTCTTGGCCTCTTCGATGTAATGTGTGGTCACTATTATGGTTACCCCTGAAGATAGTTAAATGATAATTCAGTTAACACTTCATTGTCCAATCAATTTATCTTAAAGATACCATCATTTTTGGATATATTCTCTAAATAAGCCCAAATCCTTTGCCTTATAAGGGAGTCGACGCCAACTGTGGGCTCATCCAGTATAAGAAGTCTTGGGCTGTGGATCATAGTGACCGCCATCGACACCAGTCTCTGTTGACCGCCACTGAGTTTAGACAAAACCCGTGTCCGGTCGGGAATACTCAACAAATCGGTCAATACATTGATGCGATTATTGATGGCATCGACACTCATGTGGTTTAAGAGACCATAGTATGTGAGGGTTTCGGCGATTGTAAACTCGTAATAGAGGGCCACCTCTTGAGGCATATACCCCACCCCAGGGCCGGGTACGTCCGAGTACTTTGTGCCCGGCTTTTCACCGAATATACTCACGTGACCGGAATGGGGTTTAAGGCGGCCTAAGATTAGCCGCAATAATGTGGTCTTTCCGCTCCCATTAGAGCCTAAAAGTCCGAATATTTTGCCTGAAGATAATTAATGAGTCTGAAAATAATTAACTAGGTAACTGAGAAAGTATATTATAAAATGACTTACCCTCCTCAATTTTGAGATTCATTCGCTCCAAAACTATAGCATTCTTAGTGTAACTGAAGTTAACATTCCGGACGTGGACTGCGATCCGGGGCTCAGTTTGTAGGCCACATAAACCCAATTCAATGTGAGTGCTCGACATTATAGCTTAGTTGAGATTATGAGCAGGGTCATATAAATTAGTTAATAAATTATTATATTAAGTGTTTGTTATAAATAAAATGATTTGTAACGAAATGTGTGTTTTTGAAAAAATAAAATATTATATTTTTAAGGAAGTTTCGTAATATTTAGGGATAAAAAATTATTATTATTATTTGATTCAGTGTTTAGTGATTATCGTATTATTTATAAACAATTGCCTATCAAATGACAGTTTATTTGGCACTTTTGTATTTGACTTATTTTTTGTTTAACAAATATCCTTGCTTAATTTTTACGCTATATTTTTACTGTACTAATACACACAAATTACCCGGATACGATACGATAAAATGATAGTATTGTACAAATCAAGCATAATGTTTTAAAATACAGAATCGGTTTACTGTTAGTAAGCGTCTGATATGTTAGGTTAGGTTTAGAAAGTTTTATGAAAATCTCATACTTTATTATTTATATTAATATTCTGAATGTATATTAACACAAACTGTAATTGAATGCATATTTTAATTAATCGAGTTTATGGGGTAGTGGATGCCATCTATTGTCCATATCTGGCTATAAAAGTATAAAATTGATTCAATTTAATTCAATTTAATTGAATATACATTATGTACTCTTATATACTATTAATATTAATATTATGTATTATAGATGGCATTCATTTCCTCATTAACTCATTTAATCAAATGTGTATTCAATTACAGTTTCTGAACTACTGTATTAAATAATTTGTATGACTGAATGACTGAATATGAGATTTTCCTAAAACTATCCAAACCTAACCTAATACAGTATGCTTAACCTATTACCGTATTAATATGGAATATTTAAAATAAATTCAATGAGAAAGTCTTATTATATTTTCAGAGGAGTTTATTTTTTTATAAAGTAATGTTAAGTATAGTTAATGAGTGATTCATAATAAATATTCATTGATATTTTAGTTTACTTTTAATTTGATTTAATACTTTAATACATTATATACTGTAAATACTAACTTAGCATTAGATTAAAGAAATCAATTTTAAATGCAACAAATAATTAAAATTTTATTTTTAAAGAATAATTCATAATAAGGACTAAAATTACATGAATTTTTTCGTAAAACAAATTCAATTCATATCTTTACCGGTATTAACAAAATATAAAACTATAATTTTGATAATTAAACATATCTTGGTAACTTTAAATTATTTTTTGCTACATTTAGTCAAATCCATGGCTATATTATCGACACCATTATTGTCATCCATTTCACTCTCATCTGAATTATAGTCATTAGGGATCAGCTTTTCAGTACTTTCAGACATACCTATAAAACCATAAAAATAAAGTAATTATAAAAATTAGTAGGACAGGTAGTCTAACTTTTTTGGCTATAAAAGAGGTGCGGGAATGGCATCCCAGTGCCGCCGAACACATTCTTGTGGAACAGCTGTTTGACGAGACACTTGAGCCGATAGTTTTCATCGGCCAGTAGTGAGAGCTCGGACTCCAAATGTATGACATATTCGGCACTTCTCAGCAAAACCGTGGCTTTACTTAACTTTTCGATGTCTTTGTGTCTGAGTATCCGCCGCAACGCCTGTATGCCATCGTTGATACTCTGCATCCGTTTCCGCTCGTGATTGTTGGCCACGTCTCGTCGACTCCGGGACTCCCTGTCCAACAGTTTTTTAGGCCGACCCACGCATCGCACCAGCGGTTGAGGTATAAGTGATTTGGGATTGAAGTCCATTCGTTTGCATAGACTTTAGGAATAGCTATAAAAATAAATGGTTTATCATATAAATTAACTAGATCATAACATATACAAATTTATTTATTAAGATTATACTTTGTTTCCTGAATTAATGGTAAGTTATATGTTCAGGGATTGTTTCTAATGTTGAGAGTAAGTCTGAACTTCTTAAAGGCAAATATGAAATTCAAATTAGGCATCAATATTAAATGGTAATGGTATCAAAATTATTCACAGTTACCTTGATGTGCGTAAAAATNATTTTTTCAAAAACACACATTTCGTTACAAATCATTTTATTTATAACAAACACTTAATATAATAATTTATTAACTAATTTATATGACCCTGCTCATAATCTCAACTAAGCTATAATGTCGAGCACTCACATTGAATTGGGTTTATGTGGCCTACAAACTGAGCCCCGGATCGCAGTCCACGTCCGGAATGTTAACTTCAGTTACACTAAGAATGCTATAGTTTTGGAGCGAATGAATCTCAAAATTGA